TTTTTCATGTTTTCAGTTAGAGTCATAGGACAAATAGTAAGCCTACACAATAGGCTAGTAGTAAATCTAATTATATTTTATTAATCACTAAATCAATTGTTTATTCCATAGCTGGAGACATTTATGGTGACCTATCCAGAACTTTCCTTACAAGGGAAGGCCAAGCATCCCCCCCCCCTAAAGTTCCCACTTACTCTTGATGCTCTACCAGATCAAGGTTGAGGGAAACAAGACTTACAAAGATGTGGAGTTGTAGTTTTAAAAACTGTTCCCCCAAAGCAGTTATCAACCTGATAGGTTTGAAAAGAAACCAAAGCATGTGGCATCAACTGCTGCATCACTTGTAGACATCAAGTCTTTATTAGACAACATTACATTAAAACTCCACTAAATTTTGATTATGTTTCTCCTGCACTAGATAACTGGCATTTTTTTAAATAATATTTTAACTCATGTGATTTTTGAAAATAATGAGTACATTCTTCCTGTTTATGCTACTAGCACAATAGTTTTAGAGTTATTCTATGTCCAAAGCAAAAAAAATTAATAATTAATTTTGAATTTTTTAAAAATGAAAATAGTGACCAAAACGCATTTTTGTCATTTTCAATAATTTTTTAACTTAGAAAGACTCATTTTAGATGACTGAAAAAAATTAGGCATATATATTACAAACTTTGCAGTAACTTTACCAATTTCTACACTTCTATGTTATTTAGTATAAAAAATATGGGTTCTCAAAAATGGCACTTTTTGAAAATCAGTTTTTTACCAAATTTTGCTTTTTAAAAAATCTCATAACTTTTTTATTTATTGAGATATTTTTATAAAATTAATGGCATATAGCTTACAATTAAAAGTTCTTTCATGACATACTCCCTCCAGAAGTCTGCAATCAATAGTTTATTTCAGTTTCGACTACCTAGTTTAATGTATTTTTCCGACATAGTTGTGCGTGAGAGGCCTGGCAACACACACAAGGAGAAATAAACCAAGGGAAAAAGTGCTTACAATTACAATGTATAAAATGTAAATAAACACACACACAAGGTTCCAAACAGAATGAGAAATCCAAATAAAGAAACAACTGACTAGTAAAGTTTCAATTCTGTATTTATATGCCAGCAAACCGTGGTGAAGTGCTTAATGTTAAATCTAAACACATTTTTTCACACAATACTAGCATAGGGTTGAAAATAAAGAACATTCTAAAATTAATCATCACAACACCACACTATGGGGGTAATGACATAGGCAGCTTCTATAGCAACATTCCAAGGAAACAAAAGCATTACTGGGGAAGACAAAAAAATAAAAAGCAAAGCAAACGCTTGCGAAAATGTTAAAAACCACCAAACAGCCTCAACAATTAAAGCAATCACACTTAACTTAATTAACAAGATTAGACAAAGAACAGAAGACGAAAACAGACTAATGCAACGACTATTTATAGATCGAATGTATGGGAAAATACAAATAAATTCAGATTTTATTTAAAACATAAATGACTGACATCAAGCTAAAACATAGATATGGAAAAAAGTATTAATGTTAAGTAATGCAGTCTCAAGTTAACCAGCCCTCGATTAATTAACATTAGAACAGTCCTGAGGTTTCTCAGGTTTTAAAATGCACAATCTGATTGGTAGAATGAGATACACAACTGCAACACCCCCCCCCCCTTCCAGCCAACTGGACTGGCGGATAGGTCAAGGGCAGCGCACTCTCATCGCCAGGGGACAGTTTTGTGTCAAGGAAAATTTGAATGATAGATCAGTATGAGTATTACACTACAGAGACCTTTTCCAACTGTCATTTTTGTTTCTGGCCATGGGTAGCTACAATGTGAACTTTTGACTCCGCAGCTAAGGATGGAGCACAGTAAACTAAGCAGTCAAAAGAAACCGAGTTACAAATACTATCTTAGTCTATTTATTATGCCATTTTATTTTCACCATTTAATTACTATATATACAACTGATGTGCATGCCTTTGAAACTGTGTAAAATTACTACATAAATTATTATTACTTTTTAAAATTAAAACAATTTAAAAATTAAAAAAAAAAAACTGTGGTAGGACTGCTATAGATACAGATGTTTGAAAGGGAAGAATGTTTGATTCGATTTGTATCATTGTGCTCAACATAAAGTTTACTTAAAATTTTTATAATTTATTTTTCTTCAATACCAAATTCATTTCAGCTCTACGTAAAAGAACAAACCCCGGTAATCCCTTAGTTTAGCGTCGGTTATTATTCCGGAATCGTATAGCAGTAAAAAACAGTAAAACAATAACAAAGTCTGTCACACACTTCCGGAATTCACCGGAAGTACTGTAAACCATACTTTATTTGGCGTCTTCTTTTATTTTTAAACAGAATGTTTAAAATTTGGATAGATTTATTTTTGTAATCATTTTTACATTTTGTAATCATTTTTACTATTTTCGTAATCTAGATTTTTTTACTTGGCCTAGCAGCTAGATATCTAGCTAGATCTAGATTTAATTAATTAATGGTCGCAAATCCGCTGCAAGCCAAAAACATTAAATTATTACATTTGATACATTATTTATATTTATATATGTTTTTATTTTTAGATCTACTAATTTAAATCTACTATTATATTTATTCTTGTTTCCTTTTGTCGATTAAACTTAAAAAATTAAAACATTAATTTACTACAATCGACTTTCAATTTATTTATATTTCAATGGTCAAATAAACCATGGTTTACCGTAACTCTAATTACCGAAACTCAACAAACATTACCCGATAATTTCCGACGCTAAACTAAGGGATTACCCAAACCCCCCTCAGCTGACCACGCGGATGAAAAAAAAATCCCTTGAATAATTTAACCCTTCATTTCATGAATTAATTTTTTTGAGCTAGAGTAAACTGACTGATTCAAATCTGGAGCGTGCCGTATAAAGCGCACCTATAGTCTGTTTCAGGATTAAATCTAGGTCAAAAGTGATCCAGCAGCAATAGGAAAATAAAAAAGTGGATTTTTATCATAAGTGTAAATTATTTGTAATTATTTCGCTTTGTATTTCCAGGCGGTTTTTATTTTTGTTTTTTAAAATAAAATTGTAATTAGACGTTTTGTATTAGATCTATATGTATAATTAAACAATCTTATAGGAATGAAAGTAGGATACATGTAAGAAAGAATTATTACTATTGTAAATCTGTATCAGTCCTCACAAGCCTATGATGAAAAAACATGCAAGGCAAACTGACGCTGTAAATTACATGTCTGAGGCGAATATATATATATATATATATATATATATATATATATATATATATATATATATATATATATATATCAGGGGCGTAGCGAGGGGGGGGGGGGCGGGGGTGCGGACCGCACCGGGTGACACCATTTAGGGGGGTGACACCAAGGCAAAAAATTGCAAAATATATAGAGAAAAACTCGAGGGGGGGGTGCAAATCGAAAGTTTGAGGGGGGGTGCAAATCGAAAACTTGAGGGGGGGGGGTGCAAATCGAAAGTTTGAGGGGGGGGGGGGTGCCACCATTAAGTGCCGCACCGGGTGACACCCGACCTCGCTACGCCACTGATATATATATTAGCGATCAAAGCTTTTATGAAAGAAAGCAAATTAGTTTTATTTTCTTATTTTCAATGCATTTAAAAGCTTTGTTGCAGACCGGGCTACGATGTTGCCGTCCGGTTGCTTAGTCGCCGGCCGAATACGTTGCTGACACTGGCTCGGGCGCTAGTCGCCGGCCGAATACGTTGCTGACACTGGCTCGGGCGCTAGCCAATAAGGCCGTCGTTGTCTAGGGGTATTTAATTATTCTACCCGAGTCAGCTAGAGTGAAGTAATCAACGGGACAGGAGACCTTCTTAGTTTGTGCTGTTTATTAATTCGCTGAATGCCTGTTCTGCTGAGCGAGGCTTCCCCTAACCGCTAACGTCGGGAGCGCTTGTGCGAGAGAGAGACTAACTAACCTGCATGTATTTACATCCCTGTTCTAACCCCCTAGCTATTCCCACGGGACAATGAGCTCAAAAACTTGTGACCTAACAAATTATCCCCCCTGGCGCTAACAACCCTGGCTACTGGTCAGTATAAAGGCTACTATTTTCCTGTCAGAGCGGTCAGTCTCTTTGAACGTGTCACCTACTGTCCATTCCTACTGTGAATGGATGTTTGTGGAATTCTGACCTAACAAGCTTGCTATTAAATTTTAAAGGTTTTTTTTTTACTGTGTTGCATGTATGATAAAATTTATGCTAGCCTATCAAATAGCAAGATGTCATTGTTTATGTCGCCGTTTCCAAAGTCAAATTTCTTTTTAAAATTTTTAATAAAGATGGGATGTATTTGACGTTTTAATATTTTCGGTAATTAAAGTCCCACTAAAACCAACAGTCAGGATTTATAACCATATTAATTTTCATTACACCGCGCATGATTATAAAATATTTAATGAGCCTCTTGAATAATTTTGAGACTATTCCCGGTAGGATCCATTGCTGCAGAAGTGTTTACATTCAATCAATGAGCAGGCAAACTATAGAATAATAAAATGAAATTTAAAAACAGTTTAAATATAAGTACGATGAGGAAAAGTTTTTCGGTTTTATTTTAACTTGTATACAGACACTGCAGCGTCATGTACAGGGGGGGGGGGGCGACTACTCCACTACTGGGGGCGACTACTCCCCTTAGATAAAACAACCTTTCACATCACAGTCTACACCTGACTCCTTCACTCAACAAAGACAAAACGAGGACACCATCTACAGGATAAACGTGACCGGACCCACAAGACGACAACCACTCAGTACAGTGACGTGATGAAGACGCCGTTTAACTGCTTGACAAAAAAAGACAGGCCATCATTCATCCCACAGCAGCACGACTCGACACAAAATCGTCGCTCTTGTCACTGTCAACTTTCGCTATTCTTTATTAATTTACTCAAGGTCCCGCCCATATGCCGATAAACTCGAGTAGACAACTACAAGTCACATTCTGCCCATAACCCACTATAATTTAATCCCGTAGACTTGGATCCAGTATGGGGGTGGCTGGACCAAGCACACCCTATTCTGTACACAAAAGCCCCACTGCTACCTGGACAGGTACAAGTTGTGTACGTGTACCTGGTCATTTTACCCTTCCCCACATGCCCGTTTACATCCGGTCTGGGTAACTCCTGCCTGTGTACCCAGTGACCTACAGAGACCTTCTTAGAACAGCCATGAGGATGTGACACTATAATGGTCAGCTTGTCCACATCTCTACGACTCTTGTATTTGTCCTCTAGTTTTTGCCATAGATCAATATACCGAATCATTATCTTTTGCAGATTTTCACCCATATCTAAATCATGTGTCGCACAATTTAAAATTGACATATCTCCCACAGAATTTGACCCACTATCCTTCAACGCACAAATCTTGACCACTGGACTTTTATCATCATCAAACCACAACCTGCAGTTGGACTTTCTCGCCTCACTCTCATCAAAAACCACATGTGTAGCTGTCGCCACCTGAATCCTCCACCACACTTTGCTGGGTGTTTTTGACTTTAGGCAATCAGGACATGGACAAGTTCTGTAGTCCCTCATTTGTTCTGTAATCTTGGTAGCATTAAACATCCTCCCTGTCCCTGTTGTCATTATTCTCTTGCCCCTGGTGTTGTAGAATGGATATGGATCTTTAGTGCCTGGTACAAACTCTGGTCTGTCAGGACTGGTGAAGTTAATGCCTATCCTGACAGTTAGGTCAGCCACAATTTTTATAAAGTCGTACAGGTCGTTGTCATCGTAACCAGGAGGAAAGTGTTCAAGACTGAACTTATTTACGGGTACAAACTCTTCATGGCCAGGGTTTTTCTTGCAATTTGTCTGGTGTTGATGTAATTCTGCCTCACCTTGACCTTCAAGACATTCTTGTACTTCATGTGTACCTATATAGGTACACAAAATGGTTGTTATTACTGTAAACATTTCATTTGCTGGTAAATGTAAAATTGTAAAATAACAAAGTAGAATTCCATGAACCTCACTAAAAATTAAGCATCCAGTTAAGTCATATTTATTGTCACATTTCATTGTCACCGGGTCTTGACTCAAGTGCCGAGATTGAAACGAAACGGTCCGTTAAAATCGGTAAAATTTAACTCGCCCGTTTCGATACATGACGAAGCACTAAGCACAACAAAAGTAGTGTAGAACAAGTTAAATAAAACCTTGTAATAATAATCGTTTGTAAAAATCTACAACCTCGAAACAAATTCTCCAGACATCTTAACCATCACTATCATGCTGTAAAAATATTAAAAAAAAACAAGGACTACACCAAACCCAAATCATTAATCAAGGACTACACCTAAACTAAGTAATTAACCAATCTCATTTATCAATGACTATCCCTAAACCAAATAATTAACTATTCTCATTAATCAAGGACTACACCGAAACCAAATCATTAATCAAGGACTACACCGAAACCAAATCATTGACCAGTCTCATTAATCAAGGACTACACCTAAACCAAATTATTGACCAGTCTCATTGTTTATTTTTTTTTAAATATCCGCATTATTTTGTTCTAAACAATAGGACAATGAATGGACGTTACCTGAAAAATATTTTGATATGTCATCCTCACTTGTCAAACTGTTGTGGTCATCTAAATTACCCAGGATATTTCCTTTTGATAAAATACAACATAGTAGTTTAAACATCTGCACCAATAGACACAAATATTATCAAAGAAAAATATAATTCATTTGTTTACCTGTGAAATTGTTTGATAGATCAAAACTGGGCATTTTTTCACTGCTGGCCATTTTTTCACTGCTGGCCATCTTGTCATTACTGGCCATCAATGTAGTCTTAATGTCATTAGTTGCAGTTATTTTTAAATTATTTGTGACCTCCACATGACATATAATCTGCAGCAAGTGTAATATAGCAAGTCAGTGTGCATTTTAAAGCAAAAATATTAACATTACTATAAAATTAAAATTCCTCCCAAAAATAAAATAAAAAAACTACATTATATTCAGCTTTCAAGGACTTGGAAAAAAAGAGATTGTTCAACTAAGGTTTGTTTAAAATGTTGAAGCCTTTTATCAGTGACTCTATCTGAAACACAAATAGCATCCCATCGATAAGGTAACATGAACCAAAACTAAACCGAACTAATATATCAACTTTACATAACAGCCAAAATTCATTTAGTCGATATATAAAAAGTGGGGGAATAGTTTTCAATTTCAAAGCTAAAAAGTACAAAAAAGAATTTGCCGAATTCTAAAGATAAAATTAACATGATTTAAATGTCATATTTTATCAGATTTCTGGAAGTAGGGAAACATTCTATGTAAATGTAAATATAACCAACATAACGTGGCTACACAGCTTATTTATGAGTCTATAGCCCGAGGGCCGCATAAATATTAAAATATCAGTTCGGGGCAGAGTTTATTGAAGGCATCTCTCTGTCCGAGCACCCCCCCTCTCCCCAATGAACATCTACCGCCCACGCCACCCCCCACCCCCCACCCCCAAGAAAAATAATTTTATATAGAAATATATACACAATTCAAATGGTCCCGCTCCAGGGGGCCGACAACACATTCGGGGTCAAAGTTTGTTATCAAGTTGTTCTTCAAGTTTTTCATCCTTAAAATGTTTGTTCACACAGGGAGGTTGTTCCAAATTTTAAAATTAGATTTATGCAAGATATGTAGATATATGCAAGATACATGTAGATATATACAAGACACAGGTGGATATAAACAAGGCAAAGTTCCGTATATACAGGTCACAAGATAATATATACAGAAATAGGTTTATATTTACAAGATACAGGTTGATATATGAAAGACATATGTTAATACATACAAGACACTGGTTAATATAGACATAAACTATAATATTCAAGTCTCGTCTAGATTGCAAACGTCGTTTACTAATTGGTTTCGTCAGGTATGTGTTGTGTGCAACACAATAATAGTATGCGATCCTGATGTGTCATTGTCTGTTTCGTAATGAAATGGTGCTAGAAATGTGTTGGGTAATGAAACAGTTACATATGTGTCGTTATTAAATGGTGCTAGAAATGTGTTGGGTAATGAAACAGTTACATATGTGTCGTTATTAAATGGTGCTAGAAATGTGTTGGGTAATGAAACAGTTACATATGTGTCGTTATTAAATGGTGCTAGAAATGTGTTGGGTAATGAAACAGTTACATATGTGTCGTTATTAAATGGTGCTAGAAATGTGTTGGATAATGGAACAGTTACAGAAGTGTCGTTATGAAATGGCGCTAGAAATGTGTTGGGTAATGGAACAGTTACAGAAGTGTCGTTATTAAATGGTGCTAGGAATGTGTTGGATAATGGAACAGTTACAGAAGTGTCGTTATGAAATGGTGCTAGAAATGTGTTGGATAATGGAACAGTTATAGAAGTGTCGTTATGAAATGGTACTAGAAATGTGTTGGGTAATGGAACATTTACACAAGTGTCGTTATGAAATGATGCTAGAAATGTGTTGGGTAATGGAACAGTTACAGAAGTGTCGTTATGAAATGGTGCTAGAAATGTTTTCTAGAGTAACTCTGACAGGCAATTCCCAGTTACTACAGTGTCGTCAGTTGACGATTACGGTACTTTGAGTTCCAGGTGGTTCTGTTACACTCTGACGTCATTGCGTCCGTCCAGTTCAAGTGGACTCCTGAATGACGTCATTGAGATCAACATTATTTTAGTCTCACTCACCCACTAACCTTCTAAATAAATCGAATGAAAATATCTTTCTCATATTAATATGTCGTCGTTTTGTTTTTAAACAATGTCTATTACAAAAAACAAAACAACACACGAAATAATACAACGCAAGAAATAAGTATGTCCTGGACAGACAGAGCGCAAATACCTGAAGCCTAGTAAAAAGTTTAAAATAACAGGGTCAGGTAGAGGTGTTAGAAATTTAGCTCGCAATTTGCCGACCATGATGGACGATACACAGAGGAATCAAGTTACACATACATTCATATGCGTTTTTTGAAAAATCGGAAAGAGTGTAAAGAACTACTTCCGATCACCGGAAATTATACAAACTTTGATAAAAAAACAGGAAATTAGATCTTTTTCTTATATGTGAAATTTCGTCTATCTACCAGAAACAGTACTCAAGTTATAAGCTTTTGAAATCGCTGAAAAAATAGCAGAGTTTATATACTATTTACGTATACATTTTCTTCAAATTAGTTTTAACGGTACTCAAGTTATCGTGTACACAGACAGACATACACACACGCACATACATACGATAAAAGTTTTTCCGACTCAGGGAGACGTAATTGCGCAATTATAATACTTCCTCTGTACTTCGTGTAAATGAAAGTACAAACAAGTTGAAGAATAGGCTATGTTTAAGAATATCGCATTATTATCACAGACAAGTATTTCAATATATCATCAACTGTAGCTTTTTAGATAATGACAATACAAACAATATATATATATATATATATATATATATATTATATATATATATATATATATATATATATATATATATATATATATATATATATATATATATATTGCAATATATACACTTACTTTGTAATATCTACACAAACGCCGTGTTTAAATTATTTCTTTCTGGATCAACATATTTTTGTAATAAGGAACTTCATAAAACCCACCTTGATAACAGATCGTTTTAAAAACATTTTTTTTTCATTATATCTATGTGTACATTATTTAAATGTAATTTGTTATCCATCAGAACAGATTAAAATCCTTTATAAAACGTTCATTTAAAATCAACACAAGATGATCTCTAACACACCTACCTGTTTTATCGTTGGACCGTGTGACACAATATGGTGTCGCTCTATTTAAAGACTTTTAATGACATAAAATGGAAAACGGAAGGACAAATACGGGGGCGGGGGGGGGGGGGGAGAGGGGGGGGGGGGGGCGGGGGTTTTCAACGTAGGGGACGTCGAACGGAATTTGTAATGTGTACTTTAGACTCTATTCACAGAGTTCTTTCAACCTTTGAAATGTTCAAACATTTGACTAACCCTTAACAGGCTACTGTGTGTTTGTGTGTGTGTGTGTGTCGTTGTGGGTGTGCGGGAGTGTTTATAATCCTAATATTTTATCGGACACATAAAGCAGGTATAGCGTTTCCCATGTTAGGATGCTGTAGGCTACCATGATTTCTTGACTGAGTTAATATGGAGCGCGATGTTTTAACTGGCTACAATAAAAACATCATTTTAAAAAAACAGCAGCCCCTTTTTAATAGAATCAGGGAATTTCTTAAACTAGCATGTTACTGCACCCATAGATACATGAACCATCCACACATAGATACATGAACCATTACTGCACCCATTGATACATGAACTATCACTGCACACATAGATACATGAACTATCACTGCACACATAGATACATGAACCATCAGTGCACCCATTGATACATGAACCATCAGTGCACCCATTGATACATGAACCATCACTGCACCCATTAATACATGAACCATCAGTGCACCCATTGATACATGAACCATCAGTGCACCCATTGATACATGAACCATCAGTGCACCCATTGATACATGAACCATCACTGCACCCATAGATACATGAACCATCAGTGCACCCATTGATACATGAACCATTACTGCACCCATTGATACATGAACTATCACTGCACCCATTAATACATGAACCATCAGTGCACCCATAGATACATGAAACATCAGTGCACCCATTGATACATGGCCCATCACTGCACCCATTAATACATGAACCATCAGTGCACACATTAATACATGAACCATCAGTGCACCCATTGATACATGGCCCATCAGTGCACCCATTGATACATGAACCATCAGTGCACCCATTGATACATGAACCATCCACCCATTGATACATGAACCATCCACCCATAGATACATGAGCCATCAGTGCACCCATTGATACATGAACCATCCACCCATTGATACATGAACCATCAGTGCACCCATTGATACATAAACCATCAGTGCACCCATTGATACATAAACCATCCACCCATTGATACATGAACCATCCACCCATTGATACATGAACCATCAGTGCACCCATTGATACATGAACCATCCACCCATTGATACATGAACCATCAGTGCACCCATTGATACATGAACCATCCATCCATTGATACATAAACCATCAGTGCACCCATTGATACATGAACCATCCACCCATTGATACATGAACCATCACTGCACCCATTGATACATGAACCATCCACCCATAGATACATGAACCATCAGTGCACCCATTGATACATGAACCATCCACCCATTGATACATGAACCATCAGTGCACCCATTGATACATGAACCATCAGTGCACCCATTTATACATAAACCATCCACCCATTGATACATGAACCATCAGTGCACCCATTGATACATGAACCATCCACCCATTGATACATGAACCATCCACCCATTGATACACGAACTATCCACCAATAGATACATGAACCATCAGTGCACCCATTGATACATGAACCATCCACCCATTGATACATGAACCATCCACCAATTGATACATGAACCATCAGTGCACCCATTGATACATAAACCATCCACCCATTGATACATGAACCATCCACCCATTGATACATGAACCATCAGTGCACCCATTGATACATGAACCATCCACCCATTGATACATGAACAAACCACCCATTGATACATGAACCATCCACCCATTGATACATGAACTATCCACCCATAGATACATGAACTATCAGTGCACCCATTGATACATTAACCATCCACCAATTGATACATGAACCATCAGTGCACCCATTGATACATAAACCATCCAACCATTGATACATGAACCATCAGTGCACCCATTGAT